GTTCCAAATTACTTGAGTTTTCGACAAAATCTGGATTTGATTGCAATAATTTTCGACCAACGCACAGGGTCAAGGCTTGGCCCTGTTCAGGGTACTCGAGGCTTTTAGCACGTCTTAACGATTGGCGGATCGAGGAATGGTCTTTTCCTCAGATGACGTCATACTTGTTTTGCTTGAAGTGCATCATGGTATTGATAAAGGTATCAAGATGGCGGATTCTTTATAAAAACTATGCGGAAGAAGTTTCTTTGCAAAATCAACATTATCCTCTGCCGATAATGTTTTGTAAGAGTGTTAAATGTATTTTTTATGTATTGTTTTTATACTTAAAAGTATGGTTTTGTGCCAAGGGACACACCCACTTGTGATTGGTACGAGAGGAAATTCGAGAAAATTCGAAAAAATAAAAAATAAAAAATACGTGGAAATTCAGTCTTTCAGTCTATCGAAGATATCTTTAACTGACATATATTAGATAAATGTTGTAATATGGACGCGCGGAAATACAGATTTTATCTTCGAGTGTTGAAAATCGTAGCGAGAGATTTTCATCTCMAGCCGACCATGTAATATTCTTTTTATAAGATAATTATCTATGAATGCAAAAAAAAATATATAATAATAACAAATAACTTTTATTTTCCTCCAGGATAAAGAGGTACCGATGTGAAAAAATAACATCTTATTTTTGAATATAAAAAAGACCAAAAAACGCTGGGTTAAAAAAAATAAAACGCTTTTGGATCCCTGTGGAAAAGAAATAGCGTAGGCACTGAGAACGAGGAAGCACTTTCATGGTCTTTCCGAATCGAAAACGATATGTCAAGTTTGACACTTAATGTTTTAGCCATACTGATCTCTGCAGTAGTTTATAGCTATGCAGAAAACTCCACTAATTCCAACTTAACAAAATGCCTGTCAAGTTTAAATGAAGTTGAACGTGAACTTTCTTCTAAAATCCCACCATTGAAAGGATTAACATCAGACAATTGGAGGAATATTTCAAG